TGCCATAACCAAATAGCAATCTAATATCTTTGTCAGTCTCTGAAATGTAAGGTCAGTGGATTAGTTGTTTGTTTGATTAATACTAGTAGGTGGTATAAACAACCTTAATCATTATCAGTTTACTTGAACTATTTCATTATGTGCACTGCGTTCTTAGCAACCTAACAAAATGTAGAATGTTAAGTGTTTTGGAGGAGGAAAGTTTTTTTTTGTTTTTTTTTTGTTTTTTTTTTTTTCAACGTTTATTTATTTTTGGGACAGAGAGAGACAGAGCATGAACGGGGGAGGAGCAGAGAGACAGGGAGACACAGAATCGGAAACAGGCTCCAGGCTCTGAGCCATCAGCCCAGAGCCTGATGCGGGGCTCGAACTCACGGACCGCGAGATCGTGACCTGGCTGAAGTCGGACGCTTAACCGACTGCGCCACCCAGGCGCCCCAGGAGGAAGGTTTTTAATTCTGAGTCACAAATAACTGTACATAAGGTAAATGATGAAAAGTTAAGCCTTAAATAACAGGTGCTGGCATCCTGTTGAGTATTTTACAGACTATTTGTGTTTAAGATCACCTGGCAGATTTGTGAAAAAGACTCCCCCAGTGAAGGAAGACCTACGGAATCAGTCTATGGGTATGAGGCCCTGCATTTTTAGCAATCATCCCATGTGACTCTAATCCCATTAAAACTTGGAAACCACGGCTCTAGGACTAAGGGCAAGAACAAGATGCCATGTTTTGTAGCTGGAATGCTCAAAATGTAAACATGTTCCCAAGGAGAATGTTAACAAATGTTAAAAATTTATCCTGTGTTATCTTCTCTGTTGGATTACACTAAACTCTGAATAAGGGCATGTATCTTTTTGTGATTAATTAATTAACTGGTTGACTGGCTCATTTATTCATTTAACAAGTTATTGGGTATCATTTGTGAGTATGGCACTATTCTGATGTGGATCTTTTCTTGCTATTGATAGCCGTTGAAAGGTTTCAAAGGTATTCCTCACAAGTATTTTTTTACTTGAAAGATGTTCAGTAGTTCTTTGGATATTGTTGAATAAACGAGGGAATGAATGCATTCATGGATCCTTTTTGCACCATAAAAATTACTGTGTTATCATGAAAATAAGTCAAACAATAATTTCTTAATTACCAACTCTTCATAATAAAGTAAGGATATGACTGAAAACCTCAGTCCTGTCTAGTACTTATAAATTTTAACAATTTCTTTTTTTTTTAATTTTTATTTATTTTTGAGAAAGAAAGAGAGCATGTGGAGGATGGGCAGAGAGAGAGGGAGACAGAATCCAAAGCAAGCTCCAGGCTCTGAGCTGTCAGCACAGAGTCCAACGTGGGACCTGAACCCACGAACAGTGAGATCATGACCTGAGCCAAAGTTGGATGCTTAACCAACTGAGCCACTCAGGCGTCCCAACAATTTCTTAAAACAAGCATTGAAAATAAACTGCTGCTTGCAAATTACAAAAAGGTATCCCAAAGTTAAAAATGTAATTTTAAAAGCCTCATTTCAGTGACCAATATTTAAGAGATTTGCTCCTCTTTAGAGAAAACCATGAATACCGAATTTTACGGTATAGAGAGCATACCGCTACAAAGTCTCTTAAAAGGTATCCAACAAAGAATGGATAATATGGATATTGATATAAAGTTGATGTGTGTTTTACATCTATATATTTAATAAAACATGTAATATACATTTGTATATTTAAACTAATTTAATGTATTTATTAAATATGCTTATTTGAATGTTATATTTAAATAAAATTTTCAATAACTTGTGGCTGGCATTAAAAACAAAAAGACAACCTAAATGTCTTCTAGAATATTCTAACTGGAGGTGATCTTACAGATTATCTGGTACAATCCCCTAATTTTATATGTGTGGAATATGAAGTTCAGAAAAGATCAGAAACTTGACCCAAGCTTACTCATCTAATTAGCAAAACTGCTAACACTAATTCTTGGATTCCTGTTGTTCGACTTAACATTTTTTGTAGTATCACAGTGAGTGCTGTAAATATGTGTCAGTTCTCCCAAAAAGAAGAACCAGAAGGCTGATAATCTATGGTATTTTTAATTTCCTTATGGTCTAACAATTTGGAGCAGAAAGAGAGAAAGAAGTGGCAAGAACAGTTGGCCAATATTTAAACTGATTTAAACTTTTTTCACCTTAAAAGGAACTCAAAATTCAAACACGCACTTCAGAGTTCCAAGAGGCAAAAACAAGAGCATATAGATTTAAACCGAAATAACTACACATGTGGTGAACTGGTAAATAAGTGTGTGCACTTACTGCCATGTCTTTTGGATTGCGATATGCTGTGCAGTTAGCATGAGAGGAAATAACCCGAAGACAGGAGTGTCTAAAATCACAGCGCCAAGCAGAACGACATGCCCCTTAGCTTCACAGTGCAATATGCTAACAGACTGTAACTGTGACAGGGCAGCAGCTCCTGTTAACCAGAATAAGACAGGATGCTGCCCTACCACTATCAAGCACTGAGATAAGAGGAATTCAGGTTAAAAGGAAATGACAGTCATGTCACAGCAGCCAACTGCTGTCACTGTAGCAGAAGACAGACAAAATACACAAAGTAGCTCCTCACAAGAAAACTCGAGAACTAATAATAAAAGTACTTATTTTATTGTTTAAAAGTGTTTATTTATTTTTGAGACAGAGCGAGCAAGCACAAGTGGGGGAGGGGCAGAGAGAGAAGGAGACACAGAATCCGAAGCAGGCTCCAGGCTCCAAGCTGTCAGCGCAGAGCCCGACGATGGGGCTTGAACCCATGAACTGTGAGATCATGACCTGACCTGAAGTCAGATGCTTAACTGATTGAGCCACCCAGGTGCCCCAAAAGTACTTATTTTAAATTAAATACTAATCAAAATATAACCAATTACAGACTACCTAAAACTATGGTCGGATGAGTTTATAAGAGTTCGGACCACACAGCTCAGCCTTTAAGGAGATTTAAAGAGAGATTTTTAAGCTTCTGAAATATCATCTCCTATCAATAACTAATTCATTAAAGGTCATCCCAGACTGCCTATTTGGTTCCCATCAATCAACAATTATGCATTATGAACCGAGGGTTTGCTTGAGAAAGATCAGGGGAGGGGGAAGGTGACTCACACGTTAAGCATCGAGTGATTTTTTTAAATATTTAAAATTCCTAAATTGCCTCCTAAGTTATCTGAAAACAGCATTAGTTAAATAATGAGCAAGTGCAACTGCACAACGACCAACCACCCACAAGTGAAAGTGTATCTCTAGCACACAGCCGTCCTTGGTCCACAGAGGGCACACAACTAGGTCTCCACGTCCTTTCAGAGTTGTCCTTACGGGACTGGCTTCATCAGTAGCTTTTCCCAAAATTTTCATGAAAGGTAAACATGCAAACAAACAATGCACTCTAAAGAACATATGGGCGCCAAAATGTCTTGCTTCCTCTCTGTACTATCACTTGTATGGGAATGAGAGATTTAAACAGTGTTTAAAAATGGAGCTCTGAGCTCACACCCAACTGGAGCATCCTTTCCATGACCTTGAGGAAGTTTTGCCACAGCTTTCCCCTAAATCTCTTGCCCTATAAGATGGAGTTAACAGTATCTTCCTCAGCAGATTGTTTTGAAGGTTAACGATGCAATGCATGTGATGGGTTGATGCTGTGTTTGGTAGAGTAAATCCCCAGTAAATACCAACTACTGTTACCACCATCAAAAAAGGTGGTGGCGGTTCCCACTACCTTGAAATCTGAGATCTTTTGCAATGAATGCAGTAAAGCCCTACCAACGAGAAACTGGTGCTTATTAAATAAATTCCTGCTAAACTGATTTAGGGTCAGTTAGGGTCACACAACAGCCTTATTTTGCCTCTTTCTTAGTAACTAGTAACACCAAAACTTCTCGGCCCCAACTACCTACTGCCTCATCCTAACCAGAGGAAAAGGAAAAAGTCACTTTGTTCCTTAGTTAGACATGAATGCCGGGTTTTAGAGCTTCAATGTACAATAATGTTGCCATTTTGTTTTCTTCATCTGAAGTTTACCAAATCCATTAATTTATAGCCATGCTCCAATTCTGAAACAACCACTTCAATGTAAGATTTACTTCTTTAATTTCTTTTTCATGCAGCAACAGCAAAGCATATAGATCTGATCATCCTCGACTCTGAGACTTGGAGCATCATACGCTTTCCAATTTAAACCATTTTTATAAGAGCACATTTCACAAACAAAGCTGCCTTGCTATTATTCCAACCAAAATACTGTGAGGCCTATGAGGAAATTCCCAATAATAAATTCTAAAATGCTTTATAGATAGTAGCTGAGCAAATCGTTATGAGAACAAAGTGTCAGGGGATGAACAGAATTGGTTGTTCTTTTTTTTCTTTAAAGATTTTTTTTAACATTTATTTATTTTTGAGACACAGAGAGAGACCAAGCACGAGCAGGAGAGAGGCAGAAAGAGGGAGACACAGAATCTAAAGCAGGCTCCAGGCTCTGAGCCATCAGCACAGAGCCTGAGGTGGGGCTCCAACCTAGGTACCATGAGATCATGACCTGAGCCAAAGTCTGACGCTTAACGGACTGAGCCAGCCAGGCGCCCCTTGGTGGTTCTAACTAGCAACAACAACAACCAGCACTTAGCAGGCATTTGCCGTGTGTCAGACACTCCTGGAGGTAAGGGCCATTATTATCTCCATGTTAAGGATGAGGAAACCGAGGCCCAATGAAGTAACGAGTGGTCTAACCCCAGAGTCCAAGTTCCCATCCGCTATTATACATACAGATGCTGTGGCTCTCGTAATCATTTCACTGGTCAAATATGGCATACCTAAATTCTCGCAAAATGCTCCAAACACCAAACCAAGATCTCTGCTTCAAATATTGTTTAACCTTTACGGCCGTGGAAGAAGTAAACAAGCAGCACACTCTGAAAATCAGAACGGAGTACATAAAGGAACCAGTGAAGCATTCCTACCTCAAGTCTGTCTGTCCGCATTAATTTCTGTGCAGCAGCCGCAGCAGCTGCAGGCACGGGGACCCCAGGATTCCCTGTGACCAACATTGGTGCGGTCGGCAAGATCTCTGCTGGAACCAGGCTTGGGGAAACAGGTCCCAGGTAGGGATTAAAGGCTGCTGATGCATTGGTGGCTAAGCTTGGTGCAACTGAAAACATTGGCTGAAAAATAAAATAAAAAGCAAAATTTAATATACAGGTCTTGGCTCAAATTTGATATTCTACATTATATAATCTATCCCTCATCCATCCATCCATCCATCCATCCATAATCCATCCTTCCTTTCCGCCCTCCCTCTTTTCATTTAATTCTATGTTTATTTACTTTCATTCAGGATAAGAATGTTTCTTGAATAAGCATTCCTCAAATCAACGCTTTTCTAGAATACAATAGGTAATTTACCCATTAAATTTTCTGCTGGGATTTTGAAACTTGGTGTCCATAATGCTTGTAATTTCTTTTTGAATAATAGATCAATTATTCAATACAGAAACTTCCTGGGGTCACCTAATCTCCATTTTTATCCTGATATAATCCTAGAAACTTGTCTAAGAAATACATTTCATAATTGCTACGTCAGATGAACTTGAGAGATCTGTTTACAACTGTTAATGGGTTGCAAGTGTCCTATTATCTGGAATAAATAAAGCAGAACTCCCAGCGGATAACAGAGTTTCACAGTCAATATAAACTGGAAATAAATCTCATGGGACATGTGAAAGATGATGATGACACCATTTCTCTTGAACACACGAGGTAAACTATTCGGCATATTCACTTGTTGCAGGCTCTTCCAAAGAAACTGTAAATATTCCAACAGTTTATCACACTCCTGTGAAACATTTATTGAAGAATTTACCTTACTAGGGAAAAGCCATTCTGAATGTCTGAAAATCTGAAACAGAAAACTTCTAAAGAAATGCTACACGGTTTAAAAAAAATACACATGGTATTTTGTGACAAGACAGAATTTCTGCCAGAAATGCTTTAATGGATATAGGAGGATGTGATATGAAGATCTGCATATCAGAAAATATATCTGTTCTTAAGTAGAATTAAATAATTTACTTGAAATCTACTTTAGTGATTTGCTTTTCCAGTTTTTAAAGCATAATCTAGCTCAACAATTTTCTGCCCGTGGGTGTTATCTTTTAGCTTCCTAATTCAATAGATTTTCAATTCTTGAAGTTTGATACTTTGTGTAATAATAACGTTTGTCTCCAAAATACAAAAACTCACGGACAAAATGGATCCTGTTTTTTAAGGGACTTTTTTTTTTAACAATTAATTTTCTTTACCCTGTGGTATAAGGAACAGAATCGTGGACAAATTATTTAGAATGAAGGGGACACTAGAATGTAGCTAATTCTTCCCTCCTATAGAAATAGGAAGTTAGATGAACCCTGAGTTTACATAGTATTCAAGAGAGTTTTGGAATAAAGTCTTATATAATTAAGATGTAAGAGTAATTCCCATAGCTCAAAAGAAATGTTTAAAATACACACACACACACACACACACACACACACACACACACACACACCCTTATTTAGGCTGGCCCTGACTTGCCCCATATTTAGAAGGGTAAAATGGAATTCAAGAATTCTCTTTTTCTTAGGGCAGTGGTTCTCAATTACGTAGGTGATTTTGCCTTGTAGGACACATTTGGCAATGTCTGGAGACATTTTTGATTGTCACAGCTTGGGGGCGCTGTTGCGTCTCATGTGTGGAGGCGAGTGATGCTGCTAAGTGGCCTGCAACACACAGCACAGCCCTCACAACACAGAAGGATCCAGCCCCAATGTCAGTAGTGTTTACGTTGAAAATCCCTGTCCTACGGGATGCACTTTTTTCTCGACTTCACAAATTGTTTTAGGACAGAATTTTTGCAGCTACTGCACACGTTCTTATTAAGACCATGGAAAACAGAATATTTCATACATAATCTGATTCACTAGGAAGAAGAAACAATATACCATACATTCCACTCATATTTTCAAGTTGTAATTATGCTTCCAAACGTGTTGGTTTGAATGCTATGGTTAGCTGCCCTGCCAGGTCGCTGGCTCCTGCCTAATGAAGTGGCCTAAAGTAATACCTCTGGTCCTCAGCCCCGTCCCTGCCCAAAGCACTGACAACAGGAAACCACCTGAGCATTCCAGATATAAACAATAGATAATCTGTCAGAAACTGGGGCCCAGAGCAATCTCTCTCCATCGACAGTTACTTGAATAGCAGCTGATTTTTTACTGCTCCACTGTCTACTGGCTGCTAAGGCAGTGCCAGGACAAGGGTTGACCTGTACAGTGAGTATGTGCTGAACTTGGACTTCTACTCAGAAATATCCAGGTTAAACATACACTGTTACATATACACTGATTGTAATTTCAATGAGACCAACACTCTAATTTCTTATTAGGTATTTAAGAATTATAAGCAACCAAGCACAGAAGACCAGAAGACCTGTTTAAAATACGGACAACAGTCTGTATCATTCCTCTTTGTATTCTATTGCTATGAATTAACGTGTATTTTTCAGGTAGAACCTTCTTAATGAATGCATACTTTGGAAAGTTACTGAGATGTTTATGTCCCTGTACAGAATCTACCAGAATTATTTAGAAGCAGAGGTCAAATTTACAAAGCTATTTGGCGGCAAGAAAAATCATTTATTTTTAAGAAAAGCATTCTTACTTGAAGAGAGTAAGACCAGGGATGAATAAAATTCAGCTCTGTTAAATCTCACTGCATAAATTTATAATCCACAATGCATATAATGCAACAGTTACATATTACAGATAAAAGAATACTTCTAACTAAAAATATTGATCTTATTAACTGGCAACAATTTTCCTGCTGGATTGTTTCTATTGAGTTGTCATGTGAATGGATTTTCTGACTGAATTCAGCAGAGCAAATTCAAATCTGAAGAATTTTAGGGCACTGTCCCCATGCAAAATCTAGCAGCTTTAAAAATCTGAAACAGGGGCGCCTGGGTGGCTCAGTTGGTTAAGTAACCAACTTCGGCTCAGGTCATGATCTCACAGCTCGTGGGTTCGAGCCCTGCGTTGGGCTCTGTGCTGACAGCTCAGAGCCTGGAGCCTGCTTTGGATTCTGTGTCTCCCTCTCTCTCTGCCCCTCCTTCGGATTCTGTGTCTCCCTCTCTTTCTGCCCCTCCCTCTCTTTCTGCCCCTCCCCTGCTCATGCTCTGTCTCTGTATCAAAAATAAATATTCAAAAAATTCTTCTTAAAATTCTGAAACATCAACTATTCAGCAAGCGCTCTCTCTGTTCTCTCTCCAGATAAGTAGAGCTATTTGCTAAACAGGTAGCCGATCGATGATAATAATAGCTCTATACTGTGAAACTTGATTCCAAAGGCTGCTCCCAAAAAGTGCAACATTCCTTCCGTTATTTTGAGGTTTTACACATTTGTTACATTCCTTTTTCAAAGAGCACCTTGCTGGAGGTAGGTCACTGCTTGGTCTTATCAGTGCCCTAATCAGATTAGTCAAGCTGGGGAACTGCTTCATTGCCAATTCTCCATTCCCAAAGCCATCCTGCAGACAGTTCAGCAGAGTCGCAGGGATGGATATTAATGCTATGGTATTATCAAGTGCACCCTATTTTCTCTTAAATCTCCACAGGATAACATATAACTATGTAATTGGTGTATCTGATACTGACTACATTCTTGTAATAATGATTTACAGGTATCTTTGTTCCTGGAAGGCATAAGGAAGGTTGACTTATGATTGCCTTTTGGCAGTGAACACCCTCAGCAGAGAAAAAACAAACTGCAATCTTATAACGTCAGTGCATTTATGGGCTAATCACTTGTTTGTTTTAAATGAGACATTTTGATTCCATTAAAGTAATCAGGCTTTATTATAAATTAAAATGTTATTCAATTTCACATTATGACCCTAGTTAAATGTGAGCAAACATGATTATTACTAGACTTCCCTCTATTTATTGTGTGCCAGGCATTGTGCTAAGTGCTTTACCTATGTTATTATATTTAATTCTCATAAGAGTAAAATATAAACGCCATAGGGCAAAGGAAAAAAAAAAAACCTCCATTGTTTCTGTTTGGAGTTGGGGGAGGGGGGCGGGTGGCACAGATATCTGTAGAGTTCACTGCCAAATCCCCAGAATCTAGCTAGCTGCCTAGAACATAGTAAGTACTCAATAAATATACACTGAATGAATGAGTGAATGAATGAATACGTGGACGAATTAAATTATAGTCTTGTCGGGGGGGGGTGGTTTCATTACTCCCTCCCATTCTGCAGACAAGGAAAAGCGCTCACACGGATTATGTGTCCATAATCATAAATGAGTGTATGTAAGACTTAGGATTTGGATACAGGTGTGTCTGATTTCAGGTGATTCTGAAACCTGAGGTTCTCAGTGCTGGCTGGCCATTAGAATCCTCTGGAGAGCTTCAACCCCCGAATGCCCTGGCACTCCCCACTCATCACATTCTCTGCAGTACTTTTCAAATCTCTTGGGTAATTTCAATTCCATACATTATGTGGTCTTCTACCATTTAAACACAGAAATAGATTCAGATTTCTGATTCTGCGTAAGGTCTCTAGGGAGACAGGTTTTCTTACGGCTTCCTTCTTAACATGGTTTTTCCCTCTACATTGAAGGTTGCTCCTGCCCAGTCCACTTGTTTAATTCCTAATCATGCTTCAAGAATCACGACTCTTTCTCTTGAAGCTTCCCCTGATCCACCCACATCTCCAACTCTGACGAGGTTTCTCCTACCCTCTGTTACCACAGAACTCCTCGGCACTCGAATTTGGCAATGATCACCACATGTGTTTACTTAACCATCTCTTCTACCCTGCAGGCACTCAAGACTGCTGCCTTATGCAATGTGCTGCCTTCATTCTGCATCCAGCCTGTGACTGCGATCTACGCAGGTCCCCTACACACATTTGACTACACACAATGACTGTATTAATGGATTTACTAACTGGTTTCTCCAGCACACAAACTAATCAGCAAATGCATTAAATGTTTTCTAGTATAGATGTTTGAACATTAAAAAAAAAAAAGGAGAGATTTCATGTTACTTCCTCCGCACCTGAAAATTTAATCATTAATTTATCTCGTATGCTTGTTTGAAAAGTATGATTTATTTTTTTTTA